GCTTCTCCGCAACAGCGAGTCTTTGTTCAACCCTGGATATCGCTAAATGTTAATATAAGTGTTAGAGAGAAGTATTTGCCACTTTGCAAAACAACAAATCTGTAGCCACGTTTTCAATCATTCTAAAGCTCCATTTTTTTTAATTGTTAAGCGTAAGAGTTGGAATTATATTGACCAATATTCTTTGTACGGGTTCATTGAGGTTTTAATAGTGCTTTGAAAAAATAACGTTATTTTGTCCTGTTCTCTGTAATTTTTCACATTTCGTAATAAAATTCCATAAATACCAACGCTCATCATGGAATATTTTAATGTTTTCCAGTTCAGGAAATGAGTAAAACATTTCGATAAACTACAGGAATTTTTGATTTATCTTACCTTTATTCATTTTATTGTTGTCTTCCGCCAATTTTTCGTTCATTCCTTGAATTTCAATCAAGTCTAAAAAATAAAAATACTCAGTAAAGATTAAATCATGATACACGCTCGTTGCAGTATTAACAATGTGAGTGAGACGTGAAAATAAGACAAGAAGACTCTGCATTTACTCGGTTTATTTGATTTGGCAACACCAATTGCAGTACAACAAGCATCACGCTACTACACCAACCTTTTTTCAACTTTCTGATCTCGGCCGACTGTCTTGTGGTTCTTCTTAGTAGATTGTTTAATTTATTTGATTGTTCTTCAATTTGGTTGCCAGACTTGAGAATTCCTGTTTGAATGTTCTTGATAGTTTTATTAAAGCACGAATGTTCTATTTCGAATTTTTACTGATTCTCACTCTGCTTCCCAAAACTGTAAATGTTTTTGAGTCTTTCCACGGTTCGGAAAAATCGAGTTTCAATTCAAGTACCATTAATAAGCCAAATAAGGTAAATTAGGATATATTATTTTAAATTAAAATAAACCCATTGCTTATATACAAGAGGATTTTCTGAACAGAATTTCCTTGCATTGATATTTCAAAATGTGTCTTTAATCAGTATTTTTTCCCAATTCTGTAACTAAATTGAAAAAATAAATTCCAAACGTTAAAACTGTAAGAAAACTTTAATACAATTCGGTAGACTCTTCTCTGATTTATTTTATTGTGGTTATTGTCAATTGTCTTGAACGATTTATTTGTTGGAAGCCTTTGTTACTGTTTAGTTATTTTTTGATAGAATGGTAGTTTTTAATGTAAGGAACAAAACGCACAAAAAGGCAGAAAATTCAGGAATTCATCAGCATTAGAAAGTATCGTACATTTGCGGTTTCGTAAACACTGACCAGAAATTTCCTGTTCACAATTCTCGAATTTTTCATCAACCTTGTTTTCTAATTTGTTCAATCCCACTCTGATGTTTGTAATATCTGAAGAAAAATATTACAGAATACATCATAAACGCACTTTAATCGAGAATGATTAACGAAATACATCATTTCCGGTCAGGTACTGACTCATAACCCATATTGAGACATTTCAATAATCATTCGATTAAACAACTCACCCAAATTTCTAGACACGAAATCAAGCCAGCTAAGAACAGTGCTATTGGACTTGCATGTTATCGGGAACTCTTTGTCATGCAGATGTTCATCAATGTCGAAGCCAGGTCTGTTCCATCCTACAACAACCGGATCACATTGTGCAATCTGGCAACCTGGTTTGGCAGAGCAGTGAAACACTGTTTCATCTTGACAACAGGATGAACCGATAACGTAGATTAAGATAAAAATGATTGAGATTTTCATCTCGAGGTGTTAGAGTAGTTATGTAGTGACTGAATGAGAGAAATTTAAGTTTGAACTTGTTTATTTTTGTATATTTAAGAAAAATAAATTGAAAATACAACGAGTCATGGTTGGGAACGTAAGTTGGATCTATTTATATCTAGATTTTCTAAAATTTCTGTTAGTCGGTAGTCTTTGCATAGATAATAAGTATAACGTAGAGTAAAAACAATTATAGTAATTTTCAATCAGAAAGTGATGCGTTATACAGAGTGCACGTTATACTCGACTAAAACGGTGGTGTATTTGCTTTGCAGCCCACCTAACCACCATTCTCTTACCAATCAAGCATCTGTTCTGTCCTGCGTGTTGTGATTGGACAAAATAAGTCATATGAATTGAGAAAGTATAGATGTGATAGATACTGCAATAGTTGAAAATTTCTACTAAAGTGAAATGTGACTTCCTAAAATATTATTAAACTCGTGTTGTTAATTATTAAAAATCATGTGATAATACATATTTGGAGGCAGATTAGAAGTTATAAAAATAGTATCCTTATACTTAATTTAATGCACCTTCGAAAAGGTAAAATGTACCTCTGGGGAGACTTGTACTCCAATTTGGAAACCTCTGATTTATATAAACTTTTACATAAGATAACGATATTTGTAGCCCAAATGCTTGTCATAGCTAACGCTAATGTGGAACAACTCGCCGAGTTTCATACACGTGTGACTTTAGCACTGAAATCGAGGATTGAATTTTAGTTTCTTACAATATTCTATTTGAAAAAAAAATTGCATGAATCATGAAATATAACTTCACAACTGCATTTTGAAAGCAACGACAAACTTGCGTTTTTTTATACGTAATTTAAACGTAAACGTAATCTATTTATTACAATAACTATTGTTATTAAAAGTTGGCTATATAATCACCCACGCTTTACGATACTTTTTGAATAAATCGAGTAGATTTATTTTTCTTAATGGAGGTTTACTTACATTCGTTCTGGTGTGTTTATCGCAATATTACCAATTTGGAATGAACGTATAATTTTCAGTTTGTATACGAGTGATATTACATTTGTAAAAAATATAGACTTTTTCTATGAAGCGTTTATTGAATTATTATTGAAAAAAGAGCGCCTCCGATAAAGAAAGTCATACCATTAAAAGATGCGTAGCAAATTTAAAAAGATTTTTTTTCAGATATGGCTCAGCCTTTTTAGAATGGGTATAGCCCAGGGGTCTCAAACTCAATTTACTTGGGGGCCGTTGGGGCAGAGTCTGGATGAGTCCCGGCCGGATCAGATTTTCCACAATAAAAGCTTGGCAACTCGTTTAAATCGTACCGTATTCCTTGTGCACTGCAACTTTAACTGTGCAGATAAAACACGTCGGGATGCTTCCATGCTCAACAAAGAAAAATTGCATTTCCCAGTTTTTTGAAATAGTCTGTGCTCATCACCAACCTTTCTATTTACTGAAACTTCACTTCCAACGACTTGCCCTACGTGAGAGTTTCCCTTTTTCGGCAACGGAACACTTACACTTTTTATATCTCCTCGCGGAACACCAAAAAATGAAAGGGTTAAATTAAAAAACGGTGCAATGTAGCGGTTCCTAATGGTTTCGCCGTGGCGAGTTGCAAATGCGCGACAAACTTTCAGTATTTCTAAGTAAAACCAGGTAGAGATGGAGGAAGAACGGTTGATCTTTTGCCTTTATCCTTTAGACTTACTTGTTTGTCAAAACCAAAAAGAGTACTGTAAATTTGATATTGAAATTAACAGTCAAAAAGCTAAACCGACGGTAAACGAAAATGCTACTACCCTAACTTAGTTAGTCCACTTTAGGCCGACGGTGACGCGATTTTAAACGGTCAGTTGGACAACAAGTTCATGATTCTCAGATCGCCATGGCGACCAGTTTAGATGTATTTTTGATTCCTTTTCCACGTAACACTCGGGAGATGCTCGCGGAACATTAGTGTTCCGCGGAACACAGTTTGGGAAACGCTGTTGCTAACTGAGCTAAGTGACTTGCGGGCCGCACTAACATTGAACTTTAATACCAAGGCGGGGGCCGCAAACTATCATCCCGCGGGCCGCAATTTCCCGCGGGCCGCGAGTTTGAGACCCCTGGTATAGCCTATTTATAGACGATAAAGCGTCAGAAGTGGCATATTGTTTTTTATATCGGCCTATACTTTATGTGATAGAAATAGCTGTTGTAGAGAAGGCGTAGCGTTGTTTAAATGGTATAGGAAGGATTGCGTAAAAGAATTTCAAAAGTATTTGCTACTCTCGCCGTTGTCTCGAACTGATATACAACATTGCTTTGTTAATTCCACAGTGTTTTCATATTGGTATTGTATGTAGTCTCTACTGCCAATCTATATTTCAGTCTTCTTGTACACTCAAGTGACGTTGCGTTCAATTATTTCTGGTTTTAAAACCAATTAACTCATAGTAAGACGGTTAGATTTTAACGATATCATGACTTCTCAGCGAATATTAAATAAATATCAGTATTACCAGTATCATATGCGGTTCAGTTCTTTCTAACTCCGATAATCTGACAAATTATTTCATCAACCAGTTGCCTTTATAAAGTCTATATTAAACTATACTAATGTATTCTGTAGCGTCGCTTTTATGCTCAATAATTTACCGCATTCAGATATTTATAGAAGCAGATGCTTCGTATGTCGTGGCGCAGTTTTAGATCTTACTCAGATTTGCGGTTACGCGTGACGTTCGTTATGCGATAAACAATGACTTTGCAGAATTAAATTTATTTTCTTGAAATATTTCTTGAAAGAAATCGCAATTAAATATAAAATATACTGGGCCTTTAAATATCGGCAGTATAGGTACATGAATCGAATACCGTTACATTGTTGGATATTGTTGTTTTTCACTGAGCCTAAAAAATTGCAATGACTACCGGAATATGAAAGATACGAAACCACAGCCCTATCTCAATCTGTCAGACATGGTTAAGATCCTGTCAATATAAACAAACCAAGCGTCCAACGTAGTCACCTCAGATTTCCATCTAATTTTTCCAGTAATTACCAAGGTCTTATCATTTAAACTTCCTATGTGTCCACTCACTGTTTAATTAGTCAATTCGGGAAACGGTTTCAGTTTTCTGCTTATTCAATTAATTTCAGTCCTTGTGTTCTCAAAGGTCAAACTATCCTAATTTCACAAACATATTTCGTGATTAACCTGGTCCAATTGAGAAATTGTCTTAGAAGAAAAACAATGATAATACACAAAAGCTGAATTTATTTCCTATTGAAGTGTTGGTAATATTTTTATTTTTCAAATTCTAAAATTACGCAGATCAAACATTCAAATCTTCAAACTTCAATAGAATTAAACCTTTCTCCACACGGAATTGTTAGATCAGCAAAACGAAACAACTTGACAAATGAAATTCATTCGAACAAATCCATTTAATTAAAACAGGATTTTCAGTGTGATACCTGTAAAACTGAAAAACTACAAAATTGAGATTGAATAATCTGAGATGTAAGTTTAAAAAAACTTCTCGTTGTATTAATCAAACAAAAATTACTTAGGCCAATTATTGCTGCTTGTATTATATTAGTAAATTTAGAGTTGTATATTTTTGAAAAGTAGGAATCCACGATTTATATTTTACTGATGATTGATCCATAAGTACAATATACAGCCAAGTAGACGTTTCATTAGATCAGGATCTCACAAATAACTCCGTCAACCTTCTCGATAGGTTTAATATTCGTCATTCCTTGATAACCATCGTTCGGTTGGGAATGAACATAAAGGTAAACATTTGTTTGGTCTTTATTATCAATTTCCGTTTGTGGATAATTAGGGAGCCACTTAGTGAATGAATCTGCAGGTGTGACGCAACCAGTCTGAGAAAAAAGTCATCAGATAGCGTTTATCAATATATCATGCTTGATTATGCATTTAATTCTCCCGTTTTTATTTATTGATAATACTTTGATATATTTTTGAGAATCAAATTTAAACGCAAGTCTTTCTGATGAGTTATTAAGTGAATTCACATTAATGCTCTAGACTACTGAATCTCAAACAGTTCGCCGTGGCCCAATGATGGACCACAATGACACTTTCAGATGCCACAAACCCGTTGAAAATTGCAAAAGGGGATTAATAAATTCATTTTTATTTGTGTCACTTTAGGTAAACTTTGATTTCAGCTGCAATGAATGATGATACTGTTTTTTGCTACTTAGAGGTAATTTTATTCTAAATATTAAAGTGAAAGTATCTATTTTTGCGAACATGATTCCCTCGCATGAAAAAGTTAATGGCCCACTGAATTTTGGTGCAACGATAATCGGGCGCGAAACGAAAAAATATTGAGAACCACTGCTCTAGTCAATGAATTACACTTAATGACTAAATTCTAATCAAGTTTGTGCCAGACGAATCTTCTGATTGAATTATATAAGTTGCTTCTAAACGACTATAAGTTATGACAGTGTTAGCGCTTTGAGGAACATGAATTATCACTGTATGTAAATAAACTCATACAACATGCATCAGAGACGATTTCGACAATAACTCTAAACTAAATGAAGATTGTCCATGGCTTTGTTAATATATATAGACGTTCTGTAAGCATGCTGTTAAAAGTGTTTCATGGGGGTAAAAATGCGAGCTGTAGTAATTACCACAATAACATGCGCATAAGTCCATTAAGAGAAATTGTGTTGTCATGGTGAGGGCCCAATCGTTCATGTATCATCTTTGAAGCGAAACGTATAAAAAACTTTTGAAAACCTGAAACCGTGTCCTCGCTATTAATTAACCTAATCTGAGTTGCTCTCCCATCTCGTAACATATTTTATATTCTGCGCAAATTAATAAATAGTCAACTAAAAGACACTAACCATTGGATCAAATGAGATTCCCGTCCATATTTTATTCCTTGTCAAATTCCATCTCAAGTAATTCATGATCGTATAGTACGATTCTTCATCTCGGACCAAACCAACATCTGCGTTGCGTTTCTTGCAAATATCAACTGCTTTGCTGTAGTTGACATCACGATAACCAATTATCACAGCGAAATAACAGATATTCCCAACTTTAAATTTGCAGTTTTCTGACATAGAATAGTTGCATACAGTGTTTAAAAATATATTGAGTAATAAGAAAATGCATACGACCAACATTCAGTCGCTGGCATCACTCGGCTCCATTGAATACCGAAAATACATCTCGCTTCATTTTATACTCATTCTATTGCAAATAAATCAGTAAATATTCAAAACCTACAACATATCGGATGATATTTACCTAAACTTTACCTGGGGATGGAGTTGGTTTCAGTTTTGATTCTGGTTCAATTCCATTTGAAATGTGCTTCTCCGCTACAGCGAGTCTTTGTTCAATACTGGATATCGCTAAATGTTAATATAAGTGTTAGAGAGCATGATTTGCCACTTTCCAAAACAACCAAACTGTAGCCACGTTTGCGTTGAGTTTTTTAATTGTTAGATATGAGGGTTGAAATTCTATTGACCACTATACTTTGTACAGGTTCATGAAGGTTCTAATAGTGCTTTGGAAAAACAATTTTATTTTGATCTGTTCTCTGTAATTTTTCACATTCCTTAAATAACAAAGCTCAAAATAGAATATTTCATTGTTTTTCATTTCAGGAAAAAAGTTCAGAAAATGTGTAAAACAGTTTGATAAACTAGAGGACTGTTTGATAGCTGTCACCTTTCTTCAACATATTGTTGTCTTCCACCAAGTTTTCGTTCATTCCTCGAGTTTCAGCCAAGTCTAAAGAAACCCAGTAAAGAATAAATCATGATACACGTTCGTTGCAGTATTAAAAATGTGAATGAGACCTGAAAATAATACGATAAGAGTCTGCATTTACTCGTTTTTATTTTATTTTACAACACCAATCGCAGTATAACAAGAAGCATCACACTACTACTCCAACCTTTTCTCAACTCTCTGATCTCAGCCGACTGTCTCGTGTTCTTCTCAATAGATTGTTTATTTTATTTGATTGTTCCTCACTTTGGTTGCCATACTCGAGATTTCCTGTTCGAAATTTTTAGAAAGGGCAGATTTACCAATTGCTTATCATACAAATGAATAGAACAAGTGATTTCCAGGAACTAGCATTTTGAAAAAGTTATAAATATCTTTTTCAATTTTTTATCAAGAAATAAAATTCGAGAGTTTAAACTGCAGGAAAATTTCAATACAATTATTGATTCACTGATTTATTTCATTGTGGTTATTTGGCAATTGTCTTAAACGATTTATTTGCGGCCTTTGTTAATGTTTAGTTATTTTTCGATAGAACGATTCATTTGGTGCAAGCCTTTGTATATATTTAGGTATTTTTTGATAAAGGGGTATTTTTTTATATAAATCGCGGAACAAATCGCACAAAAAGTGAGGAAATTTAGCAATTTATCATCATTATAAAGTATATTACACTTGCTGTATCATAAACACTGACCAGAAATTTTCTTTTCAAAATTCTCGATTTTTTTATCAAACTTGTTTTCTAATTTGTTCAATCCCATTCTGATGTTTGTGATATCTGTAGAAAAATATTACAGATATTTTTAGATCAGATACATCATGAACACACTCAAATTAAAAATGATTAACGGAATACATCAATTCGGTCCGGTACTGACTCATCACTCTTTAATAAAACATTCCATTAATCATTCAATTGAACCACCTACCCAAATTTCTAGATACGAAATCAAGCCATCCGATGACAGTGCTATTGGATTTGCATGTTATCGGAACTCATTGTCATGCAGATGTTCATCGATGTTGAAACCTGGTCTGTCCCACCCTACCGCAACCGGATCACATTGTGCAATCTGGCACCCTGGCTTCGGGGAGCAGTGAAACACTGTTTTATCTTGACACCAGCCTGACGCGATGACGTAGTTCACGACAAAGACGATTGAGATTTTCATTTCAAGATTTCACTGTAGTTAAGTAGTAACTTAATGTAGAATTCAAGTTTGAGAGCATGTTTAAAAATTTTTCATTTTGACATAGATTTTGTTGAAAGTTCCAAAAATCCTCTCCAACCAGGAAAAGGGTTCTAAAAAAGGATCCTAAAATACCACCTTGTGATTTTTCAAATCGAAAAGGCGCGTAGCCATTTTAGAAAGCTCGGATATATAAAGTGTCATATTCTATTAATAAATTATATCACTATTTCAAAATATATATCCTTTATAGACGCGTCTCCAAAGACATACTGCTGCTATTATTGTTTTTGCTTGTTGTCGCGCACTCAAATACAGATTTTATTTGGTTGATATCAAGTTTTTTCGAATGCGTATTATTTTAACGACTTTTTATATTGTAATAGAAACCTGAATCTCAATTTGTTTTACATCTCAGATTTAGAAATAACTTTAACTTCTCTGATTTCTACTATCAAAACGTATTCCCTGATATTAAAACACGTTTACGATTTATCAACTTCAAGACATTTGACAAACAGTAAATTACCTTGTCAGGTATTTCTTCAGTTTTTTGAAGCTCTAGCTAACTATTCCACCTATTTCCTATATTGCAAAATTCTGGTACTATCATGTGACGTTGATTTCAATAATTTCTGGTTTTAAAACTGATTAACCTTAATTAAGGCTTCTATAATTTAACAATATCAAGACTTCTCGACTTATAGTAAATAAGTCTAAGTATTACCAGCGTCAAAAACGCTTTCTTTCTTTCAAACTCAGATTCTCGATAAGTATTCCATCAAGTAGTTGCCTTCATATAAGCTGTACTAATAAAATAGTTTCTTTATCGTTGTTTTTATGCTTAAAAATTAACCGTCATTGGATATTTAAAGAAGCAGACACGCTTAATTATGTCGTGACGCCGTTTTCGATTTTAATCGGATTAGCGATGTCGCGTGACATTCCTGTGGGATAAACAATGATCCGCCGAATTATTCTAACTTTTTTGCAATATTCTAAAATTGAAGAAATCGTCATAAAATCGAAATATACCACTTCATACGCTTTGAAATATCTACAGCAAAGTTACTGTAATTTACCAGTAATCTAAAAGTAAACACAATCTGTATTAAATTACAATTTCACATATGCCACTAAAAGTTGGCTGGTTATTTAGCAATGAAAACAGGAGCACTTAACTTCAAACTAAAATTTTTTTTAAAGCAGGCTTATCATATTGTTGTTAGAGCATTTGTCGCGACGCCATACGATTGCGATATAGACAAATTTAAGATGCGTATGGAGGCGCTGTTTACAAATTGGTCAATTTTTATATCGAATTTAAAGAAAGTCTCTAATTTTTGAATAATCACTAGCTCTTGCTGTCTGGTTACAAAAGCGTGTTATCGAAACAATCAGAAATAGATCGACAATGTCAAATGAAATACCAAATTCGATTTTGGATGAATTAGGTCGTATAGTTAGCGAGTTATTAATTAATTAGTGATGGGACACAAGGTGTCACTATGGAGTAAGAGCGCTGTTTAGGGTGATCCCTTAACTTCGATCGATAATTCTTCGGTCTCTGACCGATATTCTCGTATTAGTACATTTGTGTCGCCATCACAAATTGGCTGGAATTTGTTATTGGGATCACATTTGTGTTTTTCTATTCTTTGAATGTTTCTAATTTCCGTTATGAGTAAATCATCAGTGCTCTAAATAAAATGCATCCAAAAAGCAGTAATACCAGTCATCGATAATAACTCAAACCTAATGTGTAAACTGAATCTACATTGCTAGGCACTGGATTGTCGTGGCTGAGTGGTCGGAAATTCCACTTACTTATTAGAAAGTTACAGGCTTTATATTTATATGCTCCGTCTTCGTTATATCCACACAGTCGTCCACTGATACCAAATAAATATCTGCAGTATTTTAAAGTTATCGTGACCTTTCTTGTTAGGTATTGACTACTTAATATATTACTGGGCGAGGTGGTGTGATCGACATGCGATTTATTCTGGGATTTCAAGACAGTTGCCCGAGAGTGTAAAATTGCCACTGAATGCTAAGCCAGAAAAATTGTCGTTTTTCAAAATAAATGGCTCCGTACAATCGTTAGGTATCAGTGGTGTATTGTACAGGGAAATTGTTCTGTCTTGTTGACATACGATGTTAAAGAGGAGTCATTAATTTCTGGAGCAGCTTAATTATCAGGACTGTCTCGAACGGTTGTAAAGTTTGTTCCATTGCGTTCGATGCTGACATCCGATGTTGCCTATGGCGTCCTGAAGTTTTTCACTGTGATGAAGTTCAGCAATTTGCTGATGTGATGAACGTAATCGAAAATGGTTAAAAAGTATCGCATGATCAGATTGCTCAGTGAATTCCCTCTTCCTCCTATGCGCTCTGCTGATATATTGCGTACAAAGAAAGTCAGCAGTAAGTGCATGCGCTACGTGAGATTTTCACGTTGAACGATCAAATAATCACATACAATATGTCCTATGAAATCAATAACTGAGTATCAAAATCTTTTGGCAACATTCCTCAAAGTTAAATTTAGTAACTGATTGTTCTAACTTTAAATATTCAATAGTTGAAAGTTTAGACTTTTAAAATGGTGGCAAAGTAGTCATTTGCTTTCGTACTGACGATTGCCGACAATTTTTGTGACCATTTTGGTATATATTAACTTATATGTAGAATATGTATTCTCGTTTGTAAATTTACTAAAGTTGAGGATTTGGACGTTTAACGTAGTCAACGAAACTTGATGAAAATCATTTAAACTGTAAAATTGACCATTCCTTAAAAAAAATACCAGACAAACGATATTCTACAACAATGGCCATAATAACATGGAGCGGAAGATGAAGTGGATTTATGGACTGGACGATTTGTTGTAGATTAAACAACAGTCAAGAAAATTTGTAATCTTTATATTTTCAGACTATTTTGCCTTGATATGTTGTCTTTTTAGCAACCAGTCGGTTTCATTCGGCCAAGAAAATTTGTGTAATTTTTTTAATTTTAAATTATGTAACACAAATTGCTGTCTGTTACAAATAGCACTGTCTGTGAAATCGATTGACTATGTTTTCGTTGCAAAAGCCTAGCCTTGTTTTTTCTTTTAGTAATAGTCCGAGTCTTCCTTATTTTACGAACATATTTCGGTATCAACCCGATAGCTCTGAGTAACATCCTTAGGAACAAAAAAGCTCAAATATGAAAGCTGAATTTATTTAAAAATAATAGTTTTAATATTTTTATCTTTCAAATTCCAACATTACGTAGATGAAATAGTCTCATCTTCAAGTATTACTAGTATTCAGACAACTTATCAGAATAGTTGGATCAAAAAAATTAAACAATTTGAGGACTAAATCTCATAAATAATCTTTTTTAAAATTTAATAATCTAGAATGCAAGTCAAAAATTATGGTTATTTAAATCAAGCGCAAAATATTTATTAAACTGAATATACGTTATTGTAATTATTAATTTATAATATTTACGTGCTGAAATTATTACAAATACCAATGCCTCAAAAATCAATTAGGAATTAACGATTCATATTTTACATTTTCAAAATTCGTGTAGATATGAAATAATTTTCCCATTTGTATATTGAGCGTGTTATAGACGGGGCTGTAATAATCAGGAAGGGAATTGTACACCGATAGATTCCGTATACATTAGATTAACAATTCCCATTTGAAGTTTTGAATTTCATAAGATTTAGGAAAAATAATTCGGCTAAAAAAATACAGCCCTGCATACTTAATAAAACTCTATAGTGTGAGTACCACTTTATCTATCAATTTTACAATTCTCAGAGATGAGACTGGTTTATTTACTTCCGATTGCATGTAATATATAATCGTAATTAGGTATAGTTTCAGTTTTTATTTACACTTCGTAGGGCACCCATAACCTCTATCAGATGTGATTCTTCTTTACTTCTGAGTTAGTGGACTACCACATTTCTGTATTTCGATAGCTAGGTGAGAGCATTTTAGCATTTCATTTGTTGCGAAAAATTAGATGAGTTTTGCCCAGGTACTTATTTTTTGTAATATTTGAAACAACAATTTGCCTTAGATATTGCGAGCTCTTTTCTACCTACTCAATTGTTATACGCGCCTCAAACCAAACATGAACTAGATGAACCTGATCTCAAATAGTTGCTTGTCGGGATCTTATTCAGATAAATAGTTTACACACGCGACCGGTTCTGAATTAACCAATTAGAGGCCTGCACAACTCAAATTACCACGAGGCCGCAAGCATAAATCTGAAGGCCCGGCGGGCCGCAAACTTTGCCACATACATTATTCACAAGTTGAACTACAAATCAAAATAATATTGTCAAACAAATAAATTTAATGAAACAATTTCATTACTGGGAGCTTAAAAAGATGAAGAATCTTATTTTCTTGAGTAAAACCAAGGTACAGTATTTTTGCATATGAGATGGCAAATATGTATTTAGTGGTTCATCTACCTTGAAAACCCACTCTTCATTTTAATATTTTTTTTATTGAATTAGGTATTGCGTGTTGCAGTAAAAATTGTCTGCAGGAAAATATTATACTCAGGTTAAGTTTTGAAAATTGTCCAAAATATATGTATGACAATTTATTTAATCATATCTACCATTATTGGATATTTTTATTGTATGCTAACAAACAATCCGTTTAGTAGCAAGTGAGTACTTTTTTGACTGTTAAATTTCTTTTTTCTACAAAATCTGCTAATTTATTTGAAATTTTACAATAAATAGCAATATTATTTGTGTGAGAACTTCTGCACCATTCATAAATGAAAGAATTGCTTTTTAAGTTCTAAATTTGAATCAAAAAAGAAACTTCAGTTTCATAAACTGCTAGCAAAAACAAATGGAGTTAATAGGTTGCTAATATGCACTAATGGGTGTGAGATTGTATACCGATATTGTTTTAAGCGTGATTCGGTCTGAATACTGAGATATCTTAATCAGGGTTTTCCAAATTGGAGGCCGAGGAGTCGAGCGACGAATTTTAGGGGTCGCAAAGGGCACACCAATTTCACACAAAGTTGATATTTATTGCAACTATAGTGCAAAACATAAATCTCACGATTTCGAATATGATCGGGGTAGCGGCGCGCTTGCATAACAATGCCGGCTTTGATTGTTGGCAGTGGCGTGTTTCCAAATCACCCGCGGGCCGCACAGAAGTATCTAGCGGGCCGCATGCTGCCCGCGAGCCGTATGTTGTGCAGGCATGAGTTAGACATCTGACTGACCTCAGTCGAATTTATTTCTGGATTAAACAAACTGATACATTTTGAAACTTTTTATCGTTAAAGGTAGTTAACGCATCGAGTAATCAGTAAGCTTTAATCTTTGTTATATATCCGGTCATTGTTGAAACAATTTGCCGGGTGTTTTCAGCTTTCTATCTATTCAATTAATTCTGCGCCTTGTGTTCTCAGAAGACAAATTATTCGAATTTCATAAACTTATTCCGTGATAAAGCTGAATGACCCCTCTGAAAAACTGAGAAATAAACAGCAACCGAAATTTATTGGATCAAAAAAATCATTTTATTCTATCAAATTACAAAGATCAAACATTTGAATCTTCAAACTTTACTCAGATTTGAACATTTACCACTTGGAATAGTAAGTTCAGAATACGAAAAATTGGACAAATTTATCTTTTGAAATCTTAATCGATTTTCATTCGATAAAATATGTTTAAAATGTTTGCGAAACTGATATTTGAAATCATTTAGGTTTAAAATTAGAAATGCAAGATAACGAATTATTGTTATTAATATCAAACGCAAATAAATCGAACTAATTGTACTGCATTGCAATTATTTTCCAATAGTTAGTGTTAAGCTGTAATTATTAAAAATACCAATCGTATAATTTTGGAAATTAATAATTCCTATTTTATCAACGATAAATTCATAGGAACAAAACACAAACAGAAACGTTCCATTAGATCAGACTCTCACAAATAACTCCATGCCAGTTCGCGCGAGGAAAAGTATTCCTCATTCCTTGATAACGAATATTCGGATTGGGATCAATAACAAGGTGAACGTTTGTGCGATCTTTATCATCTATTCCCATGACTGGTTGGTAAGGATACCAATCAATGAATGAATTTGCGGGTGTGACGTCACCATTCTGAAAAGAAAAATGATAAGATGGCTTTATCAATGAATCATGCTTGATCACCTTTTATATTTAATATCATAAATGACGTTTTGCATTTATTAAAATGAGTGATTTATTATTGATCCTTGGTTAATTTCAAACGAAAGTCTGTCTAGTCCAGTGGTGGGCAAGGTTTTTGAACCTGGGGACAAAACTTGTGCCCATCTAGGCTGACAGGCTATGTTATTGTGACATAAAAGTAACATTCCATAAACAATATTCACAGTGCAAAAGTTGAAAGCAAAAATTGAAAGCAATAAGCCTGGCGCCAAACCTAAACTTAATCGCATCTCAACAAATTCTGTTAGTTATTTTAGCTAAAACATCAAAATTTGGTTTTAGTTTGGTTGCGACAGCATCAGGCGATCCATATCGCATAACCCATCGGGCCGGATTTTGCCCGCGGGCCGTTCTTTGCCCTAGTCTCTCACTCAAGTGAAACTACATGTTCGTGCGCTAAACAATGATGTGTCCCAAACTGTGGTAATGTACTGTCTGACTAAACCCACTCTAATCATGTTAGTGTCAGACGAGCATTCTAATTAAATTGTATAATTAGGCTGCTGTTAAACGATCATCATGTCTGATGGTTTTATGTACTGAAACGCTAAGCTACAAAGATCTTGGTATGGAATAAGAATAATATCATGAGAGCTGATAATAATGTTGCATAAATAATTTAGGTCAAAATTACTCGGATTCGGATACAGGCCACGCGTAACAAAATTCACAGAATAATCAACAGTTTAATCAAGAGACAAACCTAAACTACACTGATCCTGGTAAACTACACTGGTCCGAATATTACATCCAACACATCTCCTAAATTCTATATATATTTTTCTTACAAGTGTTAATAGCACAACCATATAGTACTAACCAATGGATCAAATTGTATTCCTGTCCATATAGTAATTGCCACCCAACCCTTTGGCATATTCTTCCTCAAGTATTTCACAATTGCATTGTAAGATTCTTCTTCTCGTATCAAACCAACATCTGCGTTACGTTTCTTACAAATGTCAACTGCTTTGCTGTAGTTGACATCCCGTCTATGTCGTAACACAAAAAAATGACAAGTGTTCCCTACCTTCAATTTACAGTTTTCTAAAAAAAAAAAGTTTATTTTTGAGTGAAATCAGATCAAACAATGATTTTCAGATCAAGAAGATAATCATCAAGCCTTCATGACTTCAAATTATTTGAATCAAATTAGTTTTTACCGGCCGTGTTTGGGCATGCAATAAAGTCTAGCACAGTGGGTTGGCAACCTTTCGAACGCAACGTGCCAGTTTATGAATAATAAACAATTCCGCGTGCCAAACATTTTTGGGAATCTTGTTTGTTTAGTCACCTTGTAGCAGATGTGGATTGTTAGAATGTTATTTAACTCCTTTATAATAATAATATGTTGAATTCTACCAAATTGGTCACTTTATTGTCGCGACAGCGATATTTTTTATTTTGCATCGATCAATTTGGAGGATGTGTGTTTCCGGTTTCGCTGAGAGTTGGAATATAGCGTTTTTTATATTTCTTAAGTCGTTGCCTTGGATTCGACCGCATAACTGCATCAAGGGTTTAGATTTGTTTCAATATATATCTGTTTTGATTGAATTGTGAATCTTTGATTGTGTGCTTTTCGACCTCTGAAGAAGACCAGAGGCGCCATTCGCCAAACTTTTTTATCGTTTAACGTGTTAGTTATGCACCCACTTTCTCGTAAAAGGCAAAAATGGTATTCTCGAAGTATTGTTAATATTCGAGAGAATTTTTTGCGCGCCAAAACAGACCTTTCGTAAAGTGCCTTCTTCTCCCATTTTACCGAGAATCGGTATTAACGAAAGTTCTTTAACGCGCCGGACTGCTCGCAAACTAACGAGGTGAAAATTTTGCTCGTTAACAGTAGTTCGGCATGTTCTCAGCATGAATTCAGGTTAAAATGTATGTGTGTTTATTTGTAACAGTATCTATATAATAATTAAACGGTATAACTAAGACGGATACATGTTCAATATTTTACTGGCCTAAGACAAGTATGTGCCACATGCACCCCAACAAATGCTGTGGTGTTTGCATACTTCGTGAAAAATTGGTATCAAAAATCCTTAAATGCATAACTTAGGTAAAAGTGACTGTAGTCTAGTAGCTGTGGACCCACATATATACTATGCCAACTAACATCGAATATGGGATTGCATTCATTCATCTATTTTATTGTCGGTCACAGAAGTAGTTCACAATATGTACTCCAGCATTTATTTCATATATCCATAGATTACTGCTATATGCCCCAAATTTTAAAACACAGTCTGTAAACAGGGAACCCCTACAAATCATTGCACTATGAGCTTGTAAGCTCAGGGCGGCTAGCGGCAGTGACTGATACGATTGAGAGATCATACAGTGGTCTTTGTTCAACGACGACCGTGCGTTAGATTTCAAAAAAACTTGCGTGACCGTGCGTAAAGTTTTTACGAGATGTTTCGTGAATAGCACTTACGGGATTTCGTAACTGCGTTTTTGCGAGACAAGGTTACCTGCTCGTAAACGAGGCTTTTTACGAAGTTTGGCAAATGGGGCCCCAGATTGGGGTCACACTCCATAACGTGTGTTAATCCAATAACACGGGAGTCGAACGCTCAGATAGGGCCACCCTTTCCCTATAAGCTACTGGTTTTAATAGTAAGCGGATGGAAAAAAATTATCTTATTGGATAACGCTTAATACAGTCAAAAGACTCGCTTTCAATCCTGTTCCTGATTTGCTTGGTCAACTCTGTAATATTGAGACTTTATTTAAACACTTCATCACACAAATAAGTGGACAGGCAAACTATTTTTTAAAAACTATTCAAAATGTTTTGGCCAAACATTCACAATTAGCTTTGTAGCCAGGAACAATGTTAACACGGCAATGCGCGTGCGCTTAAAGTTTTTTTTATTAATTTTATAAAAACAAAATACAAGGCAAGTATATCAACTAGATTCAAAATGTATATATACCATTATCACGTAACATAATTTCACTCTTTTAACAATGACATATTATAGTTTCACTTTCCATTAAGTAAAGCTAATTTGCCCCGGTTTATTGCAAACATATTTTTGCTTTTTCTTACACTTTGGATGAAGTTAACAAAAATGCCAAATATTGAAAAATACGCGTGAGTCCGCTCCAAATCACTTGACGTGTCAAGAAAATTTTTCTATCGTGCCACAAGTGGGACGCATGCCAGGGGTTGTCGACCCTGGTCTAGCAGATAATGCTTCTGTTTTTCGTATATAAATATATTAAAAAGTGGGATGTTTCATAACCGTCTAATCTTCAAATGTGCATAAACTACAACTTGGATTAGATAGAGTATTCACCTGGAGCAGAAGTTGGTTTAGTGTTGTTCGATTCATTGTCGTTGGTCTGGTGATCTGCCGGGGTCTATTTGGAAGCTGTTGAGGCTTCTCCATGACACCAAGTTTTTGTTCAATTTGAGATATTGCTAAATGGGTATTATATATAGGTGTTAGAAAACATCTGTTTACCTTTAGCTTGAACAACTACGCTTTTTATGCAGTTTCAATCGTTACAATTATCTAGCGTTTTCAATTGTACAGTGTAAGATTGGGAAATTTATTGTTCGATTCTGACAAACAAAAAAAGTTCCCTACAGATTGTTGACAAATGCTATGAATAGCATTGTCATTTTGATCAAGCGGTGTTATAATATTTCGACTATGTTTCTAGGATACTAATACGACCTCAGAGATGCAATCACTCTCTGGACTAAAATATTTTTCGTTAAACTACACCGTCGGAAAAAAAAAACATTATTTGACAAATTTATTTCTTATATTTTTGTTGCCTTCTATCAATTACTTATTCATGTTTTGTACTTTGGCCAAATAGGAATTAAGATTTACATATTCATCCCGGGGAGAGGAAAGTCGATAAGACGGAATAACCATATGGCGAACCACGTACTCTCGTCCGGTTAACATTCCATTAACAATTCACGTCCGGTTAACATTCCAATTTATACAGTGCATTTAAAAAAAGAGCTTCAAAAACTCGCTTGCCAAAATGATTACTCTTGTTCAAGATACTGTTTGCAGATATATTTCGTTAACAAACAATATTATTCGATATTTTTTACCTTCTTTCATTTTTTCGTTGTCTTCTGTCAACTTATCATTAATGACTTGAACTTTGATCAAATCTAATAAAAGAATAACATTTAAAATAACAAGCAGTATCTCAGTATGGAATATTGAATTGTTTACCATTTTAGTTATATGGGATTACAAACGAACAGTTGAAATAGCCATGTTTGTCATACCATTTTAGAAAACTAGAAAAACAGGCTGGCTCTTACCTTTCTTCATCTTTTTGTTGTTTTTATCAACTTTTCTTTCATTTCTTTATTTCAACCAAGTCTAAAACTGAAAATGTTCACTAAATCTTGATACAACTTCGTTGTAGCGAGAATGTGATTTGAACGTAAAAAAAATTGAGAATATGCATTTACTCTACTTTTTTTTTTTTTAATTTTCCGACAAGAAAAAGTATAAAAAAGATTTAAAATGCCTTTGTGCGTTGAAAGCTCGAGTAACATTTAATGTTGATAGGGAAGACAGAACGAATTTAAATTCACGTGCAGTTACAACTAGTCTCCAAGTATGTATCCAATAATTAGTTTAGCATCAGGATTAACAAGCAGTATAACAAGCATTACGCTAATACACCTTTTTTCAACTCTCTGACTTCATTAGACTGCCTCGTGGTTCTCCTCAATAGATTGTTTATTTTAGTTGATTGATCTCTAATTTGGTTGAAAGATTCGCGATTTCCTGTTTCAAAAATAAAAATTTCCAAATGAATTTATTAGGACTAGGCGAATATCATATTCCGAATAACTGCTTATTCTAACTCTGCTTCCCGATACTGTCAATATTTTTTATTTTGTTATCGAGATTTTCCTAAAGTTCTCCCAATCCCGTTTCAATATTCCAATATCTGAATGAATATTCATTTATACCACTCGAGTTCTTGAGCATGGTAATTGTTAAGATAATTGTTTTAAACTTTTTATAATTAGCAAATAAAATCTCTGCTTTTATGAATTGCGAGTATACAAATGGGACTGTATGTTAATGTCAAAAAAATCGTTTATAATTTTTCGAAATTGGCATTTCAATTAAGTTGTATCATCCTTTTCCAATTGTCCATAAAAAAGGTAGCGTTACAAACAACAATATAACTCTTATAATATTTGGGTTTTTTGTTCACTTTCTTCAATTTTTTTTTGTCTTTTTTTTTCAAGTTTTAATCTTTTGTTTTGAATGAAAGATTTCTGATAAACGATATACAGTATGTTTGAGTATTTTCGGTTGGAATAAAAGTTTGAAATCAACAGAACAAAAATCACAAAGATTTGAGAAGTTTAGCATTTTATTAACGTTACGAGCTATTGTACAATGACCTGAAATTTCTTTCCCAAAACTCTTCATTTTTTCATCCAACTTGTTTTCCAATTTTCCAATCCAACCTTGATATTTGTGATCTCTGAATAATTATTTAGTTATTTAGATTCATTTTCATCGTGCAAATAGCGAAATACATAATTTCTCGGTAAGTAATCACTCAACACTTAATTTATAACAATAATTATGTATCAAGCAAATAAAGCAACATACCCGAATTCATTGATGCCAAATCGAGCCAGCTCAGAACAGTACTATTGTACTTGCATGTTATCGGATACTCTTTAGTATGTTTATCAATGTCCACACTGTCCGAATCACAATGTGAAAACTGACAACCAGGCTTGGATGAGCAGTGAAACACTGTTTCGTCTTGACACCAGCCTGACGCGATGACGTAGATTGAGATAAAAATGATTGAGATTTTCATATCGAGGTTTTAGTTTGTAATGTATTAACTGAATGATAAAATGGAATTAAGAGGTTTATTTCGTTATGTAAATGTGAAATAAAATTCAAAAGTAATTTACAAGAAATCCTAGTTTTTGAGTTTTAAATTTGATTTTTCTTCGTATTCACTGTTTTATTTTAAAAATTACTCTCTAACCTTCAACAACCAGTCCTCAGCACTGTACCAGTAACAGTCTCAACCTTGGCATTTCAGTCGCAGTTATGTTGTTTGGTAATCGCGGTGTCATGGACCACTCAACTAGTTCATGGCACTCTATCACAAGATTAGATATTGAATTACCTTTGTGGTTGTCATAGTTACCTGCCAGATGGCGCTAGGGATCGTTCGCTACCAGTAACTAACCATATCGAAAATATCCGGTCTCATAAACATATCGCCACAGGCGATGTTAGTATTTGGCATTTTACATATTACTTTAGTATTTAATTACTTAATGTTAGACCTTTCAATGTTTGTTTTTAAATGTCGCTGCTTGATAACCAGTACTGTTATATCGAGGCTCTGAAAAGGATTATTTTTACCGCATTTTGTACGTTTAGCGTGTATTTTCAATATTATGAATAAATAAACTACCGATTGCTGATTAACTCATATTAATACTACCAGAAATAAACGATATCAAGTCTTCTCAGCGTCTAGGTCTCAGGTCTAAAATACCAGTATCATAAACGGTTCTTTTTTCCAACTCTGAAAATCTCGCAAACTAGTCAATCAACCAATTAGTTGCCCTCATACAGTATATATCAAATTGTACTGATTATAGTTCCATTACGTTGCTTTTATGCTAAAAAATTTCCCGCAATCGAATATTTTTAGAAGCATACGCGCAACTATGTCGTGACGGTTTCAGATCTTAATCGGATTAGCGATGTCGCGTGACGTTCATTATGCGCTAAACAGTGACATCGCGGAGTTAATTTTAGTATTTGTCAATATTCTATTTTTGAAGCAAATCGCAATGAATTTTGAAATATAAGTTTAAATATGCTATAAAATATGCCAGTAAAGTTAGCTGAATTTAACAGTAATCAAAAAGAAAATTATAAATGATGATTTAGGCCGCGAGACGGGCTGTTTATCTTTCAGTTTCGCAGCGCAAATAAGGGAACTCCCTGAAATTGATTTTGAAAGGTCCCTAAAAATCGAGTAACAAATAATGCCTTGTTCCCATTTTCAAAAGTGGCACGTTTTAGGGAAAAGACGCTTTTACTACAATAAATATGTGTTACCAACTGTCATTTATCCTCTGCTTTACCGGTATCACGGGACAATGAACGCAGACTTCTTCATTACGTAGCCTTTCCACAGTCTTTTTTCAGTTATTGAACACATTAGTGGACATAACGATCTTTTCGATAATATGTTGTTGTTCTTATTGAACACGTAAGTGGACATAACGATCGTTTCAATTTTATGTTGTTGTTCTTATTGGACACGTTAGTGGACCTATCGATCGTTTTGGAGTTTTTGTTGATGTTGTTCTTGTATTTGACATAGTTTTAAAAAAGTCGCTTTTCTCTTTGATTACTGGACCAATTGCTTTAAGTTTTCTGTGGTTAAAGATTGATTTTTTGCATAAAGGCTATCACTTTTTATTTATTTTTAAATTTCGTACGCAATCTGATATTTCGTCCAAAATTTTGCTGTATTATTTTATCCTCTGAAATTTTCAGTTAGTAAAGAATATATTTTTTGCTAGAAGGCTATTACTTTATTCTTTGCTATGACGACATCAAAATTTGCCACTATGTGGCGCTGCTTGTACATATATTTGAGCATAGCTCTCTTGTTATTAGTTGAGTTACCGTTATTCTAAGAAGGTGTTAAAAATATAATTAAGCTATTAAACACTATAAACATAGATATCAATTTTAGTTGCTGTTAAATAGGTACGGTACAGTACCTATTTACAGTACCTCCAAAGAAAGTTAAACTTAGAATAATATGTCCCCAACATCAGTTTTAGGATTAATTTAATGACGATTCTTATTTTTTTAGCAGATTTATACTACTATAAAGGCTACAGCATATTTGATTCAACAAATAATGGCTGTTTCTGTAACACACGCTTGTGTGAAAGAGGGAAAAATAATCAATTTTACTGATGTCAGTTGGTCTGAATTCATAGAGCCGACAAGAACCTGGGAAGCAATGATAAGTTATGCCGGAGTTGAAAGAAAAGTAGCATTGGAAGCGATTGAGAGGTGAGAATTCAAGTTGTAGACTGGCAGCTGATGTTTTAAAATATAGTCTATAGGCCAGATAGCATTTCAGACTGTGATATATCGATATTCAAAGTAGATATAACGTTAGTCTGTATAGTCTACATGCGAACACTGCAGGACTGCAGTACATGAGATAAAATGAGTTATTATGAGAAATATTAGATATTAGGCAGTATTTTAGTCATTAGTGGTATTTTTACACTCATGCTTTCACAGATATAATTTTATTTTCTCGTTTTAGGAAGGAAGGAAGGATTTACATATTTAACCCGGAGGAGAGGGAAGCCGATAAGACGGCTTAATCATATGGCAAACCACGGCCTCTCGTCCGGTTACCGCGCCATTTACTAAACTTGGGTTTACGACCACGTAATTGTGTCTCTCAGAATCATGATAGCGAAATCTCGCTGTGATTCACAAAAGACCTCGAAAGCACTTGACGCGCGGTCGCGTGCGTTCTCTCGAAATCTTACGCACGGTCGCCGTTGAACAGAATGCACTGACTGATCACTCAGCCGTATTAGTTATCGCCGCCAACGGGTCGAGCGTGTTTCGCGGTAACCTATTGGCTTTCTCTGCTTCACCTTTTGCAGCATGCGATTTGAAATCTTGTTAAATCCATAGACTGACCAATGACATTAAACAACATGATGCGCAACTCCGGCATTTTTGGTCGAAGATCGTATCCGATAGCACGCTCCAATGCACATACTTGACGAGACGAAAACGAGCGAATGTGTGCTGCTTTCAAGGCATAGCACGAATGGTGTTCGTGCCTGCTTTGACAGTTGTTGTCGATTTTAATGATATATTGGAAAATTTAAGGTGAAAAGAAATCGGAAAAAAGTAAGGTAAATACTATTGTTGTATATCACACTCGGGCATCGCGCTGTTAAGTACATGTGGGAAAGCCAGCTTTTGTCAAATACTACGAAGTTATTAAATCAGTACGGTAAGTAATTGCCCATTTGCCGAAATTGCTTATTTACTTACCCCTTATGGTTTCAAATAGTTCATACACCTCCATTTCGATTTTTTTTTAATCAGTGAGGATATATACTCATTGCTGTAACATACTATTGCTCATTCACTTTTATTTGCGTATTGAATCAAAGGGTTAACAAGTTCACCTAACAGTTCACTCATACCGGTCTATATTGTATAGTCTGATCTCTCAAGTATTTGGAGCCACCGATGCTTGTAATTTTCTGACTAAACCCCTTTATTAGTTGGTTTATATACGAAATTCAGTAAAACATTTTTTACATAAAACATGAGATATTGGATTTATTAGCTTTTCCAATCTAAATCATATAGACTGCTTTATTTATTCCTAACGAAAATTATTGAATCTCCTCTCTTTCTTCAGATGTGAAAGTTTTTGAAAAACTTGTCTAAGCATTGTGGGACTCCTACAGCACAAGAGGCAATAGCAAAAATAGTAAGTATATCAATCAAGAAATTAGGCCGACATAAAGCAAAACTTTTAACTATTCGTCCAACCTCAATTTCCTAATATTTATTCACAGGACAACTGTAGCAGAAGGGGATATTTCAGAAGTCTGGCGACATATCAGTGACAGTGTGATTCCAAGAAATACAATCAGAATACTCCATAAATGTTTGCAATAGAAGAACAACCTATGGAAGCATGCAAAGACATTTGAACCTCCGGTAGAGTTGTGTATGGCCCCTACATCCGGCAGGGCTTGAGGAAAATAACTAAAAATTCCGAAGCGTAAGATTGCATAAGCGGTCTTCTTTGTAAAAAGGCACAAAACATGCCAGACATACTCAAAACAGCTTTGGAAAATGAGGATTATGGGTCACTCACTACACCTGTGTTATATTTGATTCATCAACTTTTGGTAGTACTGAAGAAATTCAGGAAAGGGTATAATCATGATTCATGATAAAATACTGTTATATATTTTGGACAACTTCAATCTAGACCAGGGATATCAAACTCGCGGCCTCAGAGAACTTCCAGTGAGGCCCTCGAACGCTTAACAATAATTGTAATAGTATTTTGGAGTTTTTTTTTATCTAATGTAATAGATTTTTCAACCTTTTAAAGTGAAATTGAATATTCACACAGAAAGCAATTTACTGAAAGTAGTTTTGGAAAATTAATTTTTTTTGTTCACATTTTGACCCAATTAAGAATACACATCAAGCTAGCAAAAGAATACTTGAATAAAACACTTGAGTGAATAAATTAAACGCAAAGTACATGAAGAAGGTGGCATTTTCGAAGAAAATGGGAGTTGCAATATTTCTGCATTTCACAAAATTTGAAGCACATTGTTTAATTTGTCATATTTCCATCAGTACAATGAAAAACACAATAAGCTCAGCAGTCAATATGACAATTCGAAGACCAACTTCGAACAGAAAATTTCCATGTGTTTGTATATTAATATAAATATACAACGACTTAGTTACTAAAAATCAATATCAATAATAATTCAAGCAATCCTATGCATGCAATGTGGCGCGAAATGTCTTGTCGAAAATATCTGTCATTTGTTTTTTTACTGATCTATCATGAAATGATAAAAGTAACTTTTTTGCATTACTGGAATTAATTAAACATTCGCAAAGTTCCAGATTAACCCATGATCATGTGACCTCGTTAGTTAGAGTTGGTACATAAAATCATTTCAGCCTGGCCTTAGTATGCTGGTGACACAAAAGATGCCAAACGTCAGGACAAATGTAATTAAAAAAACATTGAGTTTATACTGTAGTATTTTTGTTAATTTTAGTCCATATATTTAGATTAAGTCATTTTTAGTGTATGTATTATTCTTTCCTTATCCAAAGCTTGTTCAAAAATGATTTTGA